AGCCGGGCGCTGCCAGGCCTGGGCACCTGCAGCACCTCTCCGCCCTACCCCCAGTCTCCACCACCTCGCCCCTCCCCCCTTTCTCTAGCAGAGGGAGGGGGCGACTCACCGCAGTCAGTGCACAGGATCTTGCCCACCTCTTTCTTGAGGTTTTTGCCGTTGGTGTCGATGGGGGCAAAGGCCGTCTTAAAGACCAAGGGCTGCTCCGTGGGCTCCAGGAAAAAGATGTAGCGCTGGTTCCTTTCGAGCGGCGCACAGGAGCCCACGCTGATCACCTGCTCGCGCTGCAGCCCCCCGCTCCGGAGCGGCCACTTGTCCAGCACCTTCACCAGCGCCACCCGGCCCGAGGCGGGCGGCTCGCGGGTGCTGTTGGAGCTGGAGCCGCCGGCTGGGGCCAGCCCCTGTACCTTGCCCTCCACCACCACCGGCGCCTTGTACGCCTGGTCCTGCACCGACCTGAGGCTAGGCGAGTAGCAGGCGAGCGACACACCGAAGAGCAGCATGGAGAAGCCGGGGGCCGGGTCGCGCCTCATGCCGCCGGCGGCTGCGGCTCGAGAGCGGGCGGCGGCTCTCCGGGCTGCGGGGCTGCGGGGCTGCGGCTGTTGCGGCGGCCGCGGCTCTGGGGGCGCAGCGGGACGGGAGATGCTGCCGCCGCTGCTGCCGCTGCTGCTCCTGCTGCCGCTGCTGCCGCTGCTGCCGCTGCTGCTCCTCTCGCTGCTGCCGCCGGGGCTGCTGCTGTCGCTGTAGCTGCTGCACCGAGCCTTCTCCAGGGGCGGCGGCGGCAGCGCTGAGCAGCAAACCTGCCGCATCTGGCCAGGCCATTTGGGGGGCTCCGCCGCTCCGCCGCCGCCGCCTTGGGAGGGGAAACAGAGCCCGCTAGAAAACCGGAAACAGCGTAACGTTAGCACCTCGGAGCCCTCCACCGGCAGCCGGGGGAGGCGGCCCAGCGAGGGCAGGGGGCAGGCGGCAAGCGGGCCGCGATGCGCAGCGCGGAGCGGCGCGGCGCTCCCACCCTGCGCGCGGGGACCTGGAGGAGGCTGCGGAGAAGAGGACGCCCGCCCACTTGCTCTCTCGCGCCCCCTCAACCCCAGGACCGAGCGAGGAGCGCGGCTTCTGCAGGGGAAGCTCGGGACTGCACTGCTCTAGCGCCGGGTTTCGCGGCCCGCAGGGGCGCGGGAGGCATCGTGCTACCTTTGCTCGGCCGATTTATGGGCAGGACAGCGGGACGGCGCGGGAGGAGAGGGCGGAGTAGAGAAAAGGGATTCTGGCACCGTCCTATGAACGTGGGAGTGGGTCACAGGGCGGGCCCCTGCCTCCGGCCGTGGGCTGCAGCCGCCAGCGAGAGTACCTCGCTCGGTGTGGTGGGCCAGCCTTCCGCCTCCTAGGTTGTCCCCTTCCCCCGGAGGACCCTAGAGGCCGGCCCCTAATGGAGCCCACGTGTTCGGCCCTGCCACCGCCTAGTGAGCTCTAGGGATTCGAGTTGAGGTGGGGAAGGGTTCCGGTCCCGTCATTTTGGAAAGAGTTAGGGCTACGTGCAGTCTTGTCTCGGCATTGAGGACACCTAACTAAGGGTGGTGGCTGGGAGAGGGTCCAGTCCCCAAGACTGTGGGCTTTCTGCAGCGGCCAGGCTGGACCAGGCTACACGCTGTACCACCTCATCTTCCTTTAAAAAAGCTGTTCCCTAAGGGAAGTGGGGGCTTCTTGGGAGCCAACTCGAGATCCAGAGCCTGTCAGGGCCAGAGGCTGCTCCATAGGAAATGGTTTCTCTTTTAAAAGTCTGGTCCTGGCAAGGGACAGGAGAGTTTGATCCACTGGAGCCAACGTCTGAGTTTAAAAAGCAAATCCACGATCCGTTCGCCTCCTATCGATAAGGATCTAGGGAGTTTTCAATTACCAGCTTATATCCTTGAAGGATGTGGAACTCAGGAATTCCACTCAGGTCTTGGAGAATTTTATCCCTGCCTGGGCCTCGCAGGAAATGGGCCCAGAGATGTCTGGCTCAGGCTTGGACTGCTATTCTGGAAAGGAAGGACACAGCTAGACCTTGCCTGCTGGCTGTCTAAGAGCCACCTCAAACTTAACATATCCAAAGCCAACAGCATTATTTCTCCCACCCCGCTCCAAATTCCCTATAATTGTTAATGGCAGCATTTTATACTTGGCCTCCTGATCCATTCCAATAAGTCCCTTAGTCTCTTCTTATTCTCCCTCATCCAGTCAATCACCAAGTCCTTCTGCTCTACCTTTTAAGAAAATCTCCAATGTATCCAGCTCCTCTCCAACCCTGCTGTGAAGGAACCCTGCCTTAGGTCCGAGTGCTCATCATCTCTCACCTGGACTACTGCAAAGCCTCCTAACTAGTTTCCCCACTGTTTGCCTCATCAGCCTCCTCCAGTCCTACCCCTGTCAGAGTCATCCTTCGAAAAATAAAATGTAACTATCAGTTGGCCATGCCACTGCTCTCAGGAGTCAAGTCCAAACTCTTCAGCCTGACTCCTCCTGGGCTCCCTCTACCTAACCAGCTCCGTACTGTGGGAGCCAGCCCCCTACCCTAGGAATCCAGCACAATGTGTCGTCTCTTGCTGTGCTTCTGCCTACAACGTCTCTGGTGTCCAGAAGCCTCACCTCAGCCTTGTCCATCTGGAAGGCTCTTCTTTCCCCAAGGCCCAGCTCAGCATTATACCTCATCCCTCCCTTCCTTACACCCACCTCCATCCCGAGCACCATACATATAACTTGATGGAATCAATCCCTTCCTCTTCCGTGTAACCACGTGCCTCGTACATATTCCTATTACGGCACTGACCTATACTAAAAGCAGCTGTTAGTGGGTCTGCGTTAGACCCATCGGACCAGGCACCTTAACGGCAGGGACTATGTCCTATTGGTCTTTGGAGCCCTATCTAAAGGGATGTCCGACACAGTGCCTGGCATAGAATAAAGAGCAGCAAATCTTCCATGAGGAAAGGAGGGAAGGAAGAAAAGAATCGAAAGTCATCTCTCTTAAAGGCATCGGGCCAAACTTGTTGGCCCCTTCAATGTCCCCCTTTACGTTTTCATAGATCACGATCTCCTACATCACAGAACACCACTATGAGGAATATTGCTAACTTCACCCTCCCATTTTCCCATGGAACAAACAGTCCTAGGGAGGAAAAGGGACTTACTCAAGATCACACATGGCCAGGACTGTATTCAGTCTTCCATTTCTTTTTTTTTTTTTTTTTAAGATTTTATTTATTTATTTGACAGAGAGAGACAGAGCGGCAGAGAGAACACAAGCAGAGGTGGGGGGCGGGGGGAGAAGCAGGCTTCCCGCTGAGCAGGGAACCCTATGTGGGGCAAAAATATGGAACGTTTCATGAATTTGCATGTCATCCTTGCGCAGGGGCCATGCTAATCTTCTCTGTATCGTTCCAATTTTAGTATATGTGCTGCCGAAGCGAGCACCAGTCTTCCATTTCTGACAACAGAGTAGTGGTAAAGAGCTTGTTCTCTGGCGTCAAGCAGAGCTGGGTTTCTTTTTTTTTTTTTTTTAAGATTTTATTTATTTATTTGACAGAGAGAGACACAGTGAGAGAGGGAACACAAGCAGGGGGAGTGGGAGAGGGAGAAGCAGGCTTCCCGCTGAGCAGGGAGCCCGATGCGGGGCTCGATCCCAGGACCCCAGGATCATGACTTGAGCCGAAGGCAGACGCTTAACGACTGAGCCACCCAGGCACCCGCAGAGCTGGGTTTCAAACCAATTTTGTAATTTACCACCTTTGGAATGAGCCTGTTTTTCTCCCTAGGCCTTGGTTTCCTCATTTGTTTAACAGAGATAATAATAGGGTCTACCCCATAAAGTTGGTTTTTGCTCATGATATACTTAATAAATACCCAATGAATGGCTCCTCTGTGCCAAGCACTGAGACACAGTACTGACCGCTGGATATACTGCAGGGAGCCGAACTGATTCTGTCCTTGCTCGTAAGACACGTACTGTTGGGAAGACAACAGTAAACAAGCACACAAATAGGTAATTAATTACATATGATTCATCTCCTGAAGGAAATAAACAGGATTAAATGCTAGGGAATAATGGAAAGGGGAAAGGGCAGGTATAGTTGGATCATAGAGAGCTTCTCTAAGGAGATAACATTTAAGCTGAGACGAGAAGGATTTGAAGGATTATGTGAGATAACAAGTGTAAAGTGCTTAGAACAATGCCTGGTACAGAGTAGGGGCCAAAATTAATGTTGAATATCATTGATAACTTACTTGTACCGGTGGTTCCCAATCTCAGAGCTGAGAATCTCTAGGTGGTGTGTAGTTGATGTACTCTTGGACTTTCTGTATATTGATAAAGACAATCTAACTTTTCAATAGTAGATGCCACTGTGAGGAATAAAAATACACATTCTTCTTTTTTTCCACATTTCCCATTTAAAGTATAACAAGACATTGTTAAGTATGAAGAACAGTGGAAAGATGTGCTATCATTTTGACTTTTTTAAGAGGATAAATATGAAAGTATTTGTAAAATATAGATTACCTTTGAAAGACACAGCAGAAATCGAAACAACAACTGGCTCTGGGAAGGACACTGAGTGACAGGAGTAGAGTGCAAGTACTATTCCCTTCGGTACCTTGTAAATTTTCTATCAGGCTCATACTATCCACTTTCTTTCTTTTTTTTTTTTTTTAAAGATTTTATTTATTTATTTGACAGAGAGAGACACAGTGAGAGAGGGAACACAAGCAGGGGGAGTGGGAGAGGGAGAAGCAGGCTCCCTGCAGAGCAGGGAGCCCGATGCGGGACTCGATCCCAGGACCATGGGATCATGACCTGAGCTGAAGGCAGTCGCTTAACCAACTGAGCCACCCAGGCGCCCTCATACTACCTACTTTCTATCAGGCTCATACTACCTACTCGAAAAAAATGTTTGAGAGGATCCTCTAACTTTTCACCATTGCTAAATTTTTTCACGTATGTTCTCAATCAAAAGCTACTTAAAACAGAACTGTTATTTTATGGGATTCCTTGAAATTATTTTTGCCTTAAAATGAGATTCTCGGGCGCCTGGGTGGCTCAGTCGTTAAGCGTCTGCCTTCGGCTCAGGTCATGATCCTGGGGTCCCGGGATCGAGTCCCACATCGGGCTCCCTGCTCGGCGGGAGGCCTGCTTCTCCCTCTCCCACTCCCCCTGCTTGTGTTCCTGCTCTCGCTGTCTCTCTCTGTCAAATAAATAAAATCTTTAAAAAAAAATGAGATTCTCATGCTAAAAAGCATTGGGAATTAGTGCATTATAATTTTACCCTCTTTAGAACGCACGGTAAGTTTTGAGATCCCAACAGACTACCAGAATTCCTGTGGTCAAAGAAGTGGGGGACTTAGGCAGAGGCTTCTAAGGGGAAGAGAAGTACCTGTCCAGGTTTTCTCAAGGTGTGATGTGTATGAGGATAAGCTTCCAGAATTAGCCCCAAGCATTTAGTATAGAAAAACACGGGATTGAGTTTCCTAGAAGGACAGCCCAATTCTGTATTGGCTCTTTCCTGGGGATCAAAGTGAATGAGTAGGCATGTTTTAGAAAATAAATCTTGATATTCTGAACCTGCTAACTATTCATCATAATTCAGTAATTGATAATAAAAATAATAACAGTCACCATTTATTAATGGCCTATTGTCTGTCAGGAGCTTATGTTTCTCCGTACCTCAACAACGTTGCATTTTACAGATTGAAGAGACTTCTAGAGATTTAATAACTCGCCCAAATGACAGGCAGAGTTGGGTTGCCATGCAGGCTTGTCCATGGCCAAAACACCTGCTTTGTGCACACCACCGCGCCAGCCCTCCGCCTCACCGCATGGTCACCTGAGAGGTCTCTAATCTCTCCCAACCTCTTCTGCCAGGGGCAGACTATTTGAAATTTATACCACTGGAGAGCAAGGGGTGTAGGCATCACTTTACAAAA